GCATGCCTACTGACAAACAGTTTTCATTTTTACCTAAGAGGGGCATGCCTACTAACAAACAGTCGGCCACTCTCCATGTTTAATTTTTATTCTTATCGGCTACCCTCCTCTTACTTAGCACCTACGTTCACCAAGAACTAACCAATTCCACAAGCCGAATGATCATTCCAGGCGCCAAGCCAACTGATCCAATCTTTAAACTAATACGACCTGCCCCAACATCATAGCAGGCGTCCGGCGGCATCCCTCCGGATGAAATTCGTCGCAGAGAGCAGCTCCCTTTTGGGTGGAACATTGCTCTATAAACTAATTACACGACACCTATACGACTGTCCCCAAGGGCAACCACGTAGCCGTTTTTGAGACAAGGATAACTCTATCACTAACCAAACCAGTGGTAGCAGTTGGCATCTGAGTCAGATGACCGCCTGTATTACTTGGGATAAATGCAGGGGGTACCTCTTGAGTTAATAGCCAACAAACATTGGCGAATCAAAAGGTTCAGCCGGCCTCCGCTGCCTGGTACCTTTACTACTCAAGCAGGAGTGACGGCGACTGAGTAACACCAAAGTTAACTCATAGTCACTCTCTCAAATTTAGTATGGAGCCTAAAAGGTATGAGTCGTCCGCCTGTTTTTGGCAAACAGGGGCTATCAACCACTACTCCTGCTAGGTTAACAACCTATGAGTTAAAAGCCAACAAACATTGGCGAATAAAGGGGAACAACCGGTACCCACCGCTTGATACCTCTACTACTCAGTTACTTGGCGACTAGGTAACAATCATGTTTACTTGGTCACTCCTTAAAAGTTTTAGTATGAAACTAAAAAGGTGTTCATAAAACACCTGTTCACACTAGATTTAATATGGCGGGAAACAGTCGGCCTAGACGGCCTAAAGTCTCTAGCCTAAAAGCATGACAAGTAGGAAACAACTTTCCTACTTGGTTAAATTTTACAAATGACAGGACCGCCTGCCTAAAGGGGATCCAGTCTTTAAAATGGTTCGAATACCGATTGGATAAATGGCCGACTGATCGTCTAGCCTGGAAACAGACAACCAGTTGTCCAGGGGCATAGGCGGCGTGACTAACTATCCGTACCTGTTTGCAACTATCGGCCATGTAAAACAGTCGGTATAGTGTACAATTGGATATCAGAATATTCAATACTTAAACAAATTTGAAGCAAAACAAAAAAAAATTCATTAAAAAGAAGCCGGTCATCAAAGACCGGCAAAATATTCAGAGCCCCGGCCCCCTGGCCGGGTAAATACAAACAAATGGCACGCATGCCGTGGAAAGAAGACATAAAGCTTAAGAAGGGGGCAGATCTTCAATATTAGCAGCTGCCGCCTGGTCAGCACTCTTCTTGCTGGACTCGGCTTCAGCTGCATCCTTCTTTGATGCATTACCCCCAAGCGGCACAAGCGCCACTACCGGCTGCTCCTCCTCCTCCAACGCCTCTTCCTCAGCAGCCGCCAGGATCTCTTGATTATATCTATCAGAACACTAGCGGTACGTTTTTTCCCATGAGGCAAAGTCGGCATTGGGGAAGAGGCGGCCCCAAGTCTGCGCTGGATTTGAGCAGAGTCTTCCATCATCTCCCGGACCAGCTCTTTCTTTTCTTGCTCGGCCTTTGTCGAGAGCTCCTGAGTAAGACTCTTCTCCTGGGTCACCAGGCGTACCTTTACGCTCGCCAAGGATTTCTCCAAGGTTTCGTATGAGGACATCTTTTGGCGAAGAGGTCTCAGCTCGGCCTTGAGGTTGTTGATGGTCGCCTCCAGCTCGTTATTCCTCTTCTAGGCCGCCTCTAACTGAGCCCGGATAGCGGCGGTAGCCTGCGCCTGATAATAAAGAATATCAATGGTCAGAACTTCATTTTGGGCAATTTGAAACATTGCCTTATCACAGTCAGAGGCGACCATAGCTTTTGCAGCCTTTACCTCTTTGTTCTTCTGGTCAAGCGGCTTGCGAAGGCCGTTCACTCGGAGCAGGGCCTAAGTAAAAAGGGGAACAGGCGTCAGTTTCCAAACAAAAAAGAAAACAGGCGTCCTGGAATTCAAATACTCAAAAATATGCTAAGTAACCTCAGCAAGGACCCCTGCAATCCCGTCTAGGTCAAGGGTGCCGACACCCCTGACCGCCTCCCTTTCAGCTGGAGGAACGGCCTTGATCATAGACTTGGCCACCTCGACCAAGTCAGGCTCCTGATGGCCAGCTGCATCAAGCATAAACAAACGGATTAGACCTAGTAAAGAAGAGAGCAAGTCTAAAATTTACAAGGATAATTTCATACTTCTAGGTGGCCCAGCTGGAGTTTTAGAAGAAGTGGCTGGTTGTTTCTCAGCCGCCACATGTTTCCTGGCAGAACCAGGAGAGCTCGCAACAGTCGTCCTCCGGGCCTTGGGGTCCGACTGTTGGGAAGAAGAAGCTCTTGGAGCGCCCGTCTAAAAAAGAAGAAAAGAGTCAGTATATGCATAAACACAACTCCAAAAAGAGGGTGAAATGTTCGAAGCCCACCAAGGGTGCCCCCTTGTTGGGGGAGTCGGTTGAAGACTGTTGCATGATGGAGGCCCGCAACATGGCCGCCGCAGTCTTGGAGGCGGTAATTTTTCTCATGGCGTCCGCTGCAAAAACAAATAGCAAAGTTAATAAAAGTCATAACAAGAAATGCATGGAATAACAGAGTATTCGACAGGCCGGCTACCTCTTGAGCACCGACTGCTGAGGCCACAGGCGGCCAAAAAGTACTCGTCGTAGAGCCATTTGAAGCTCGGGACGCAGTGCAGGGGTACTTGCTCTCGTACCCCTGAAGTAGAGTTCACCTTCGACTCTACTTTGAAGAGTCCTTTATCTAGGATCTCTTTCTTAGCCTTGGGGGGAACAGGCGACATGCTGCGGCCGCCTGCAAGAAGGGGCGGATTCCTGTTCCGCCTGTTGAAGCGCTTGTTCAGCTCTGTGTCTGAACTCTCAATGATAAGGAAGGTGCTCCGCCAGTCCTTCCATTTGTTTGCTTTACCTCTCGTCATGAGGTAGCCCCTGTGGCTCGTCAATTGATACCAGCCGGTACCGCCTGCCTTAGGGGTCTGGCTGAGGTAGTTCATGTGGGCGAAAGCCTCGAAGTTCGGCTCCACCCCGTGCAGTTCGCACCCGGCCACATAGCCGAGTACGTTGACCCAGGAGTTCGGGGCTAACTGCCATAACCCCAACTCATACCCATCCAAGATCCGTTGAACAGCCGGATGCAGTGGGAAGCGCAGCCCAGCCTTGATGGCCGCCTCGTAGCAGCCAAAGCAGGCGCCATCATAACTGGTACCAGCCGGCCAGACGACTGTGTCTTCTGGATCCGGCACGAACACTAAAAAGTCGGGGCCCATTGTGTGGTTTGCGATAAATCTCTCCACTTTCTCTTGCATGGCTGTGATCCGGCCCCGAGGTACCGTGCAGTAGTAGGGCGTATTTTGCTCTCGGTGAGAGGCGGATGGCTCCGCCCAATCGTCCCCCTTCTCAACTGCGTGAGAAAGCCTCGCCTCTTGCAGGCGACTGTTTTTCTCTTCTGTGTCCAGAGAAGCATGGCCAGAAGAGCTAGACTCGGAATCTTCCTCTGACGAGTCCGAAGAGGACGACTCCTCCCCTCTCCCGGAGGGGCCCGCCTTCTCTCCTTTAAAAGGAGCAGGAGAGAATGTAGAAGTGTCAACTGTAAAATGGGAAGGGGTCACTTTGACTCCTCCCTCAGAACTGTCGGCTTTCAAGCCGCTTTGTTTCACTTCCACATCTGGCGCCTGGTCAGATGTTTCACTAATCGGCACCCTGTGGGAGGAGCCGTCTGAGTTTAAGATCCTGGCAGTCTTTTTTGTTCTGGCCATCATGCTCTGCATAGACACAGATACATTCAGACTTTGTATAAAGGGCAAAGATGGGTCCAGAAAAGGGCAGGCGGCACTCCTAGTCCTAGATTCAGCCGTCCCCGGTGACCGGCTGATCACTAACCTAGGTCGTGTCGTGTGCTTCCGTGGTGCCATTTCAAAAAAGAATAAAGTAAAGAGAAAATTAAGAGTAAGAGAACCAACGGTTACCTAAACGAGTGACGATTGATGAAGTTCTGAAAATCCTTTGCAGTCGGCTTGTCAGAGCAGGCGGTAGGCAGAAAGGGTCCAAAATGTCAGAGCAAGTTCAGGGGTCCGAATGTTCTCTCACAAAGTTTTCAAGTGTGAAAATGACCGAAGTCAACACTCCTTTATATAGGCGAAGTGAGAAGGCGAAGGGTCACTTCCAGAATTCAAAATTTTGGCGGGAGAATCTCTCGGCCTCTCGCCGAGTGACACCTGTAGCAGGTCGTCGCCTGTTACAGGGCGATACCTGTCACAGGTAACACGTGACCAGTCACGTGCCACCTGTGAGGGGCAAATGATTAGGGGATTTTTCCCCACCAATCACCATCTGACAAGTGGACCAATCAGGTTCCGCCATGTGTCCGTCACATGGGCCAATAGGAGCCTGCCACGTGTCAAGCAATGATCCGTCCACTATGGACCAATTACGACACGACACGCGTCCTTCCCATGACACCTGGGATAATCGGTCACCTAGGCCCAACTTCCGTGGGAAGCCCAATCAGCCCAAGGTTAACCTAAACCTAGATTGGCACGTTTCCCGAGGTTATAAATACCTCCCTTAATCCTCATTAAGGGAGATTACGCATATTACACACATTAAACTCTCTCACTTAGAGAGACCCAATCACTTTAATTTCCGCATTAATTACTCCTTAATCAAGTACTAACTTGACCGTCGGAGGCGGATCTCCAATCATCCGGAACATCCGTTTGTTTTGCAGGTACAGGCGTCCGGTTCCAGTCTCGGAATTGTAACTCTCCCGCAGGACATCAGAAAACCCCGAAACATATACTACTTTTGAATTAGTTTTGATCGAGTTCAAATCCTCTGTCCCATAAATTTGGTTCATTATGTTTATTTAATCCTCGTTGTAATTTGCAGGGGACACACCTGGTGTATAAGAAGACTTTGAAAGCAGCACGAGAATGCATAACTGGTAGCACGAGGTACTTTATTGAACTTGAGGCATCTGAAGGTTGCAAGACTAACAAGTATTATGCGCAAGTTCTTGAACTAGTCTGTCAAACCCCTATTAGGAAGCTTGAAGTGTTCGAGCCTCGGATAAATGCACCCATTGCGGTTGCAAACTAATCTTCAACAATAAATATGCCAAGCCATTTTTGGTGTGCTTATATAAGCTGCATCAAAATATATTTCAAGTTTTATATTACTACGTATGTATTATGTACTAGTGCAATAAACAAGTCTTGGATGACTTGATTTGTGTACTAGTACTACTGTCTAATACTATTATTAACTAAATAAAATTACTGTTAGTGGTTGGATCTTAACTTGATCTATATAAGTGTGCCTGCACATTTCAAATTTGCCAATTTTGTATACTTAAAATATCAAATATGAATCTTTATTTAACAAAAGCATAGTTAAAGAATAAATGAAGTATTTAATAAAATTATCAATGTCTCAATTCATATCCGAAAAATGTTGGGCCCGGATCACCCACCTTGACGGGTCGCACGTACACTCCACTCCACATTAATATGATATTGTCCACTTTGGGCTTAGCCCGCACGGATTTGTTTTATTACTTAATTATTCCTTCAAATTGGACAACACATGCTTTGAGTAGAGTGAAACTACATAGCTTTGTAAAGGTATGTAGTTTCACCAAAGCTGCAACCCTCGTAGCTCCACAATGATGAGGTATTAGCTCCAACTATTAAAAATTTCAAGCAAGGACCTCTACACAACTTTTGTGAATGCTCTAATTGACCCTGCCTATATAATCACTTTCATCACATATCATATTTAATGGCAACATGTCAACATTGTAGATACAAAAAAAAAATTAAATAAATAAATTCCATCCCTTTATACTACCTAGGTTTATTTATATTATGTGTCATTTGAAATGTGTAGGATTCAATTTCAATAAAGAGAAAATTTTGACTATGAGACAAATATATCAACCTTATGAATGTTTTTGGTTTGCATTATTGAAAACTGATAGAGTATAAAATATATTCCTGGGCTTCAATCATCAGCTTAAGTTTTTGGTTGAGTTGGTCTTCTAACATGGTATCACAGCTTAGGTGAGATCTTGGGGGAGTGATACAGTATAAAATATATTTCTGGGCTTCAACCATCAGTTTAAGCTTTTGGTTTGATTTGGTGCTCTAACAAAAACGATTAGTAGTTTTCGGTGATAGAGTATAAATTTTTGGATCCCGCCACTGATATGTATCTCAAAATTGGGAATTCCCTTAATTCCTTGTATTATCCCCGGCCACCATTCCTTCTACTTGAAAGCGGAACAACAAGTGGTTGCTGGTATGATGTACGTACTACATTGAAGTCGAGGAGGTTATGGATTATTATGTGCAGTACTCTCAATTTTGCTAACTTTCTTCCTGCTTGTTCATCAACTCATCACATGTTACCATTGAATTACACTATGAATAATATTCTCGAGGTTAATTATTATATTAGGGCCTTGAGCTTGTGCAATATGCCAATAGCCCAATATATTAACACTTCGATGACTTGAAACTTTCAATTATAGTGACCTAATGTTACAATTATTATGGATAAGACAATAACGTGTTAAATTAATACACTTGTATCAATTCAACTTAATTAATAAGTGCTAGGTCAAAACCAAAAGTCTACTTCTTTTGAATTATTTTTTTTGTTTTTTGTTGATTGAACTAATTAATAACTGTACATTTTTTATTTGTTGATGTTGTTGTTAAAATATTTTTTTTTATTTCTTACCCGATATTTAGGGTTCACAAATTCTCCAAAAAGGAGGGTGTTTGTTAATTTATTGTAAGGCGAGTTAAAGATATCTCAAAAGTACTTAAAGTTACCCTTTAAACTATAAACTTTTTAGTAATAAATTATCTCACAAAAAATTATAATGTATCTATATAACTAATACTAAAGTAGCAACCGCTAATGTCATCTTTATTCAAAGTTGTATACGTGGCGCTATTTCATGAAAAAAATTTCCGCTCAAATGTATTATTTTTTTAAACAAAATGTTAATTAATTATTAACATATTGTAGCTATTTTTTAGGTAATTAATTTAAAATAAGTACCTATTACTCTAGTTATTTATGTTGATATTAGGTTGTTGGAGTCTTTATAGGAGCAGTTAGCATAATTGAGGTCAATTAATTGAACTTTTGAACATTTTAAAATCAAAAAAAAAAAAATTACAAAAATTCAAAGATAAATTACTGGTAAACCCGTGCATTGCACGGATGCTAACCTAGTTAGAATAATAATATTAGCCTTTATAGTATATAACCATGAATTATAAGAAATTACACATCACAATGAAATTCAAACCAACGACAAATTAAAATAGTTATGTTTACTTTCAAACTGATCGTCTTACAATAATATTAACGTAAACTCGTCTTACACAACACTTATTTTGGAAGAATACTATGAGTAATTTGGAACTTTAAAGTTTAAACTGATTTTTTATAGATTAAAATTGATATATACCAAAGTACTAAGTATATAATAATTCTAATATGAGTTGATCAAGGCCTTAAATTATAAAAATTTTACCTTGAGTACGGTCATTCATTCTCATTTCACATTTAAATGACAACAAGAATCAATGTGGACACTACTCTCTCTCTCACATACTTTGACTTTGATGGTCCCCACATTATGGTAAAAATAATGAGAATTACGGCCTAATATTTCATATAAGGGCTGCATATAGCATTACCCTTAATATATATTAATACGAAGTATGATGTATTATTAATTTATATTAATGTGTATTTTTCGGATATGAAATGACATTGCTAAATTTATTAAATTCTTCATTTATTCTTTAACTATGATTTTGTTAATTAAATAAAGATTCATATTTGATAATTTAAATATACGGAATTGGCAAATTTGAAATGTGCATTGCATATTTGCATGTACACTTATATAGATCCGATTAAGACCCAACCACTGACAATTTTATTTAGATAATAATAAATAGTATTACACAGTATTACTAGCGCATAAATCAAGTCATCCAAGACTTGTTTATTTCACTAGCACGTAATACATACATAGCAATATAGAACTTCATATATATTTTGATGTAACTTACATAATAAGCACACCAAAAATGGCTTCTTAGCCGTGCAAATTTAATTTAATGTTGAAGATTAGTTTGCAACTGGGGTGGGTTCATCTCCTAGTAGAAGCACATGAAACTTTTGAAGCTCCTTAATAGGGGTTTCCGTGATTATTTCAATAACTTGCGCATAATAATTGTTAGTCTTGCAATCCTCAGATGCCTCAAGATCAATATAGTACGTCGTGCTACCAATATTGCCGTCTTGTTCTGCTCTTAAAACCTTCTCAAACTTGAGATTTGTCCCCTATAAATTACAACGAGGATTAAATAAACATAGTAAACCATAATAACATACGTCATGCATGTTAAGAGGATTAAATTCTTGTATAAGACGGTTTGATAGATTTTTGTTTGATGTACCAAGTATTAGTTTTACAAAAATTTACCTGCTTCTTGTTATACTCGGCAACAGCCCAAGCAGCAACCTCTTGGATCTTTAGACCATTTGCGTCGACAGGGTGTCGACCTCCGAGGGTGTTCTCTTGTTGATCAGAGGAACTCATTTTTGCGTATGATTTTGTTTATGTAGGGTTTGTATTGTTGTATTGTATGTATGTGTTGCGGTACTTATCTTTTGCAAACCGTCTCTATTTATAGGATAGGAAAATGGAAACAATAATTTCTTTTTTAATTATTCGATAATAAACCTATGGCTTATATATTTTTTTTTTTAATTGGATAAGCCTATGTGGCATATTGAATATATTTTTGTTAATTTGGACTGCCTCCAACTTAAAGTCTTTTTTTAATCGCTTCTTATTTTGATTATACATGTTGCTTTGATACGAGTGCACTTCATTTGTTGTTAGTTTAAGCAAAAAGAAAAAATATTCTTTACCATTTCTTTTTTTAAAAAAAAAAGTCTTCCCCTTTAGTTTAGGTTATCTAATAATAGTTGGCATAAAATTATGTTGATTGTATTGTAGGTTTTTTTTTTTTTTTTTGAGAAATAGTTTAGTTAGTTTAGCAAGTTTCATTCTTTTTGTGATATTTCAATATACTATACTTCGTATTATTTTATGTGTGGGATATTACAACATGGTTTGACCCCGCTAATATAAATTTTCTAGTTCTGCCACTGCGTACGATCGTACATCATTCAAACTATTTCGAATAATGAGTAAGACAGCAACGAAGGGACGGAGTACCAATGTACCATTTTTATACTTTTCTCTAACCCTTTGAGTAAAGGGCAGGGTCAGAAAATGAAATCATACTCTAATTCTCTACACTAGTGGTTAGAAAAAGAAAGTAGAATAAACCTCAAAAAATAAATAAATGATGACCTTCCATCAATCAGCGTATATATTATCTCAACTATAGACTTAACCAAATTTCAATTAATAGTAAAATCAACTTCATATATAAAAAAAATAAATTGAAATGTCTCCTTTATTATTTTAGTATAAGTTGTAAAGACTAATCTTTTTTTTTTTTCTTTGGTCTTTAAGAGAGAGAAGGAAACTTAAATTAACTGGTAGGCTGGTGGCCATGTCTTAATGTATAGACGGCAGACACTAATAATACTTGCTGGCACGTCGAATAATATTTGAAGTGGGTCCCACTTTTAGTAATTAAATTCATTACATTACAAAATATCATTGAGAACTTGATACAAATTGATGAAATTATTATAACATTGTATTTATAATTACTTGTATTATAATATTACTTCCCAATTTGAAGTAAACAACAACAAACTAAGCTTTCCACCATTCTCTTACAATAGAATCTTCCCAAAATATATAATCCACAAATTTGTATTTTTTCTCCCATATTAAACCAAACAGTTAAGTTAAGTTGACCTGTACCAACCCGACTTCCCGACGTTAGAAACAACCACCCCTTCTTCTGTCCCAGTCATGACAGGCGGCAACTTAGCCTTCCTTGCTCTTTCCCCATTCCCACTGCCCTCAAAATCGCCCCTCTCCCCTTTTCCCAAATGAAAACGCCACAAAAGCTTAATTGAATTAAGCCACGAAACGAGCGGCCTTTTTAAAAATCTGAAACCCCTAATTTGAACTCCATGACGTAAACACAAACTTCATTCTTCCCATCCCAGGCCAAATTCCTAAAGACTCGCAATCATCATCTTCATAAACCTTTTTCTTCAACAACTCAATTAATTTCGAGGCATGAAAATGCTTTGGGTGGAGAATTGAAGCACCAACATCGTAGGT